AGACTGGGAGGATTAAATTACTGCCTACCGATACTCAATGGGCATCGATATATTCCTCGTGCTTTCTCGTTAGATTTTCCACTTTTCTTGCATAGCTCACATTTTCCCTCAGTTCGTCGTCCGTGGAAGGAGATAAGTTCCTTCTAATCCGAGATAATCGAAGCCTCGAAAGTTCGATTCCGCAGATTTCGAATAAATTCGCGAACTTAGAAGACAGCGAGGCGCGATCGGAGCGCATTGATAGAGAATGTTGGCGGTTGGAACGGGGGTGGCGCCTCGAGGGGGAGTTGGGCAAACTTCCGCAATATTCCCGTCTACACGAGGAACGGCAAAGCCGCGTGCGGCGACCAAAAGCGGATATTAAACTTAATATATAGCCGCAATTAGGCGCAGGCCTTCGCCCTTCTCGTTTACAGGCTGCCGTGTTGCGCCACCGTGTCACTCTCCCGCCCTCGGGCAAACGGACCACCGGGTGTCAACCATAAGCTCCCTTTGTCCCTAAATCACTCCCAACCTACCGCTAATTAGCGAGAATTCTTAACCAGAAATTGCACGAATCCGAGCAATCACTGTCGCTGTTCCTGTTTGATCTTCCTCGGGTTGCGCGGCTCCCTTAATTGGAGCGACAGTTTTGACAGGCGACAGACGCGTTTGTTAATGGAAAGTATAATAGGCGACAGATCCAATCCGCCATTTTAGAAAAGTAACGCGATCTATGAGAAACCTCGTGTATCGAATGCTGACCGATAGCAGCACTACCCCTCCTTTTACACGCACTCGAAAATATACACGAAAAACTTGTCGAGCAGATATTACGTAAAAACAATTTTAGTTTTAACGATTCGTTAATTTAATTTTATTAATTATAAATCGTAAACAAGAATCAATTTATCCTGTTTTTCGCGCACTGGCGGTCTGCGATAAATCGACCCACCGAGCGATAAGAAACGACGGTGTAGCCGGTAGCTAAAGGTTATCAATCGTGAGACTCGTAGACGCATATTACACGTTTCTGTCGTCGATTTTTTTAATCGCCCCGACTCCGGGGTTATCGGCGATTTTCGATCGAGGGTTATCACCTTCGCGGTCTTCGAAAATAACTGACCAACGGCGGACAGGAGATTTTCTTTCACGGTATGAAACGTTTCCACGTCTTCCATGGAACTTTACAGAAAAAACGAGACAAAGAAATAGAGAAACATCCGAAGGAGAGGAGAAGATACATAAATTAAGTGTTTCCAAGAGCGAAGGGAGCCGGATGTCGAGGGGGTAGTCAAGCCTCGGAATTTTAAATATCAGAATTTCTTTAATCTTGCATTCCGAAGAAATAAAAGGCTAGTCCTCCGAAATTTCGATGAAGAATGAATACTTCATCCTGTATATGCTCGAACGAAATTTGTAAAAATCTCGAAGCCATTTCACGAAAGATTCCGAGGCGTTTCTATGCCACGAAGCACATCGACCAAAATTCTGGCTCGGACAGTTCTTCGTCTAGAGGGGCGTGGAGGAAAGAAACGTCGGTTATCAATAAATTCCGCATGGGCATTAGCCTGATCCGACGAAATTATTGATAATGCTCGCGGCAGCGTTCGGTCAATAGGCCGCGAATATTTATGGCGGCCAAAGTGCTGGGACAATCGGGTTCACCGGTGCTCGAGGAGCTCTCTGCTAGGAACAGAGAGGCTTGGAGATGGAGTAGGGAGGATGCAACGAAGGGTTTTCTGGCTGCTTGACTCGCCCCTGGCATGATGTGCCGCCAGCAGGATGGAATGGTTTTCCCTCTGGTTGCCAAGGTAACCTATGGCCCACCCTTCGAGGTTCAGCAACCACCCTGTGGCGCTGTGGCTGCACCAGCCCAGAATGTACGTGAGCTCCACGCACACCGATGCCTCGAAAAACCACGTTGGCCCCAGGCTCTCTCGCACACCGATCCCACGGCTGTTCCTTTGTACGCACCACCACACCTAACACCCTAGCCCAGAGATTCGTGTGCACCCAACGGCGACGGCGCGCACACACGTACACGCTGGAAGTCGATGAATCGTGGACCTCTCGCCGCTGCGAACGGCCATGCTGAATTCAATATCAGCATTCCCCGCGTTCCCTCCGAACATTTTTTTTTTTGCTCTGTTTTGAATGATGAGGACCGGATGGCGGCTCGTCCCGCGTCGTTGGCTGCGTCCAGACGCTCGCGACAAGGCAGTTCGCGGGAAACCATAGGGAAATGGGGAAGAAAGACAACTCGAGAATTTCTCGCGACGACTTTTCAGGGATTTGGTGGATACTCGCGTGAATTTCCCCGGTAGTCGTTTCTCTTTATTCCAATTGCGCCTCGAGGATGAAAAGTTCCCTTCAACCAGCACCAGGAATAAGGCGAGAAGGATTCGCTTAAATATTTTAGAGGGCTTTCCGCGATGTCTCGGTAGAAACTATTCTGTTGTAAAAAAAAATAAGATCAATGAAAAGCTTTAGGAATATCGCTGAATGATTCAAAAGCCTGACTTCGCCGGTTGCTATTATTTGAAGTAGGGAAGAAGTCAAGGTGGTATTTCGGTGTGCGCCTCGACGAGACCGCGTGGAACACAAAATCTCGCTATCTTTTATTGGTCGGTAGCACGTATTTGCTTCATCACGAGGCAATAATATGGCCACTCAGCGTCTCGGTGAGAATGATGGTATTATGGCTGTCCGCTCATTGCACCGGAGGAACCGGTTTCTTAGCGACGAACCGAAAATACGAGTCCCCGCCTCCGATCCGTGCCGGCAGCCAAAAGGAAAATTATGCCCAAGCCAATTGCGAAAATTGTCGGCAAGAAATTTATCAAGCGTCTTTGTTACAATTTGTAACCGTTCCCTTTCGTTGCGCGAACTGAACGACGAACGGTCTATGCGCCATTTCAAATCATTCGCGTCGCAACAGACGTCTCTTATTGTACTGTTAACACACTCGTCGCCATGTTGGCCATCGGTGACCGACACTTGGGGACTCCTACTGAAATATTAATAGCGTTACAACGATTTATATTCGAGTGATTGCTACTACAATCGATGATAGTTTCGGAGGGAATGGTACCATAATAAGAGATGTAATTACTGTTGGTAAATCGAGCAACCTAAATCGTTCCTACTACTTAACCAACGTCTTTAGATTATGGATACTCTCAGCTGATTCTTTAATCTAGGAAGAGCATCGAAATTGATCCTTTCAAGTGAAATCAAAAAGTTTCCCTTTATCGAAGAGCTAAATGAGAAGGTGAACTTTGAAAGACACTGTCTTATTCTGTCATTTCAAACTTTTGTTCACAGTAGAACAGTAAAGTACGCTCATCCAGAAACCTAAGATTCAAAAATCGTACTTTGAAATTACGGTTTAAATTTACGGTTGTTAGTTTGAGTATTAAATGCAATCGTTTCGCAATCACCAGAACGTGTTGTGAATTTTGAGGAAGCGAGCTTGGCAATGGGTAGAAGACAGCGCTTTCAGGTACAAGCCAGACGACAAGCACGAGTTTTTACCTGGTTAGTGCGCCAACGCGGTTCGATAGCTACCTAAACACCATAAAAAATTCAGCGAACCCTGCGCACACCCCGCTTTACGACTTTTTGACTCTCTTGGAGAAAGTTGGCCGAGCTAAAGGCATTCGAAGAAAGGGTTCGATTCGTGGACAATGGGACACGAGACTTTTCACGGGGAAACTTTCTTTTTTTTTCGCTCTTCCGTTTTTACCTCCTTCAACCCCTGCAATAAACTGGCCCATCCGAGGGCGCTGCTTTTTTCGTTCCTGGAAAGAGAAAGCGAGGGAGAGAGTTAAGATTTGTGACTCTGCAAGAGACACGCAGGTCACTCAGCAGGAACACGGAAAAACTGAACATTACGTAACGAAAAAAAAACTGCCATAATCGAGTACTCCCGTTTTGTTGACCGGAAGGACCTCCAGCGAAATCGCTGGATTTCTATTGTCGAAGAAACGTGAAATACAGGGTAGTTTTATCGCGCAGCTAAATTAACAAAGTAAACGCTCTAGTTATTTACTAATGATCAACTAATAACTGCTGCTAATTAGTAGGCAACAAACTCTTGGCCTTGAAAGCAAACCTCCATATTATCGCCTTCGTGCCTGCCCTTGTATGATAAACAAATCGTGAAATCAATCTGAATTATATTTTTTACCATTATGTACTTTGGAATTTTACTACAGTCGCGTGAAAACAAATTGTCATGCATCAAAACAAGGGACAATGTGGATCCAAGTGCAGGCACGAAGACGTTGAGCATCTTTCCTACCGTATGAGCGAATAAAACTCGTCTTCAAGAATCGAAGTATGCGTCAGCAAACAAAGCTTTTATTTTCGAACATATCCATGGCTACCATTTATCGTTTACGCAGCCGACCCTTTGCACTCCTTGCGCGCTTACATGGTAAGTCAACAGTCAACTTCTTCCGATAGGTTTTCAGTCAACGCGTTACCATTTTCTTTTTATACAAAAGTGTTATTATACAGGACGTCCTGTTAGAAAAGAATTCATGCCAGTGTATTCGCTGTTTTACGTAATAGAAAGAAACATTGTTTACAGAAGTTGAATAGTTTCTCAGTGAGTATTAGTTTGGAGGATCAACTTCAAGATTCAAATGGATCGTCCAGTTTCGTATTACTACAAAGACTGAGCGTTCTATTAAAAAATCGAAATTGACCTCCAGATCAGTGGATCCCAGCTACAAAGAAACTGTCACAAACTTTTGTAAGCGACGCTTCTCGCTATTATCGTGAACATCGAGGATATTAGAAATTGTTTCCAGTGGGACGCTCTGTGTTTCAAATGCTTGATTGTAACGGATATCCTTTTATTTCTTACGTAGTTGTCCAGGACCCGTACGAAACGCACGGTAAGTGATCGACGCGGCGAATTGACTGTGGGTAGTGCAAAGGGTTGAAAAGGCAGGATCGTGTCCTACATGAAAAAACTAACCTAGGCAAATCTGCGTTTCTGACGTTTCCAGGGCCGAACGGCTGTCCGAGGCGTAGGGGTCGGCAGACCTACACGCGGTTCCAGACCCTGGAGCTGGAGAAGGAATTCCACTTCAACCACTACCTGACGCGACGGCGGCGAATAGAGATCGCGCACGCCCTGTGCCTGACGGAACGGCAGATCAAGATCTGGTTCCAGAATCGGCGGATGAAGCTGAAGAAGGAGCTAAGGGCGGTGAAGGAGATCAACGAGCAGGCCAGGCGGGAACGGGAGGAGCAGGACATGATGAAGAAGCAGCAGGCGGAGAAGCAGGCGAAGATGCAGCAGGACCAGCAGAGCGCCGCCCTCCAGCATCAGCAGCAGCAGCATCACGTCAGCGGCCTGGACAAGACGCAGAGCGATCTTCTGAAGGCGGTCAGTAAGGTGCCCACATAGGAGACTTTGCTTGGCCGGTTGTCTTTCTTTTAAAGAAGAAACGAGAGACTGGACGCCGTACCGTAGATGGGCAGACATCGACGACGAGTAGCCGGTAAGGTCGCTTATGTAGAAGACCTTGACGAAAAGAAGCCGTACCTCTTCTTCCTCTTCCGAAGCCGACCAGGATTCCACGGGGGCTTCCCGAGTGATCTCTGTTCTCTTTTCCGTTTTGTACTCGAGGTGAAAAGAAAACGGGAAGAAACTTTTCGCGGGGGTTTGGGAGAAGGACTACTGAGACAGTGTGAATCGATAAGGGTAACAAAGAGGAGGAAGACGGAGGTAAACGTAGGCGCGCGACGATGTTTGGGAAGGCTTCGTCTGTCTCTTTTGGTTTCTTTTCTAACGGAAGAAAGGAACGAAGGGAGAAGCAGAATGCACGCAGAAAAAAACCGCAAATAATCGTATAGATCGTTAGACAACCCGTAGTAGAAACGCGAAGCGTAGAAGAAGTAAAGCACACCCTCAAACTACGTACTTATTTGGCTGGGCCAAAGGAGGACCTAGCCTGCGACTGATTCCTAGAACGTATAATGTATAATTGTTAATCGGGCGCTGCGCGACGAGTCACGAGCGACACCAACAGCAACAACAGGACGAGCAGTCGACGCGAGAAATGATAACTGCCAAGTACACACGAGGAGCCAACGATCGCGTCGAGAGATCATCGACGACCTAGAATTAGTTTAAACGAGCGGAAGCCGAAGGATTACAACGCCAGGCTGTCGGGAGATGTTGTTTACGGCAGTCGCCGACGAGACGATCAATTAATAGAGACGGAGAAGATCCGTCTGCGGTAGGGAGCAATTAAGCGAGGCTGTCGAAGAATTCGTCTAATTGCGCCGAACGATCAAGGGGAGCAAAGGGGTCGGCTCGTCGTCTCCGCCACGCGCGGGGAGCAAGAATGAAACGTTCACCGAAACGCCTGAATTAGGAAAGATTCCCAAAACATCCAGGTCCAAACGTCATTCAATCAAGGGTTATTCCTCGAGATAGAGCCAAGACGAACATGACAGTATATACATCCTAAAGCAGATGGTTTTTGAGTTATATGGATACGTTGAAACCAGAGAGCAAGGGCAACCGAAGGCGCATGTGCTCCAACGTTCGCCAACGTTCGTCAAGGTTAGAACACATGTGCCACCGATAGCCTTGACTCTTCGTTCACACGTATCTTAGTATCTGAAGACCTCTGAATCTCGATACTCCCTTCGTGACATCCAGATACAAATTTTCAGTCCGTCTGGAACTGTCCACGGGAATTTGCGATTCTTGTACACGGGAGTCATCGTTCCTCGAGTTCGAGGCGTTCTTTTCCTCGAGGTAGAGCCAAGGCAGCTCGCTCAGCTGTTCGCGATGCAACTCGTTGGAACGACGAATGTATCTTTCGAGGAATCGCATACTCCAGGTATCTCTCGGGTACGCATACCTTGTTCGGATACCGAGGCACGATCGCCTGGCAGACAGCTGCTGAACGGGCACACACGGTGATCCGCGGTGCTGGCCAACTTCTTTTGCCCCGAGAGGAATTTAGTGGTACAAATCGATGATGCCATTCGCCGAGCTCTCCTTTTACAGAGTTAATTAGCCGTGGTTTACGCTCGCGATTACCTCTCTCCGTGACTTCGCGTTGCAATTAGGCGAATTAACCGTCGCTACCGAGAATATCTCTTGGCGTTTCGACGTCAGCGCGAACCGCGCGGGAGTTTGCCGCGCTGACGCAAAAATCCTTTTGCCCTGGACCCGTTGCGGATCGGTGTTTCTTTTCCTTCTTGTTTTTTTTTTTAATTTCTTTTTTATTATTTTTTACGTTCCCATGACCCCGATCGCGCATGCTCGCGAAACGTTTGAAAATCAACGGGAACACTGTACAGAGGGCGTCCAGGAAATCGTGGTACGATCGGCGAGGAGCAGATTCGTCGTGAAAAGGCAAGTACACCTTGGTCAAAGATGACTGCATACCTTAGCATATAAAAATATTACTATTCGTTGATAATCGTGACAAATAATCCTATACTTAACTTTGATAGCAATTGTTGGCATTGAATCTTGTTCTACTCGGTTGTATTACGATTTATCGAACACTCTCTAGAATTGCTCCGATTGGAAGAGTCAAGTCAATCGCTTGGCTTGTCGATACAGAGATCAATTGAACATTGAACCGTGAAAATTTATTTTTTTTACTAATCATAATGAAAGTTTGTCGACCACGATGAGCAGTACAGTGTTCGTCGATTTTACCTACGTTTCGCACAGTCGAAGTATTCCGTAAACTTCTCACACCCTCGGAAAGAAACGCCGAAAGGAGCTAGGAGCAATTTGATGGACGATTAGTTTCGACGAACGGGACAATATCGATTTTATAGAATCGAGAATTGGAATCTGAACGTTTTGGATAGAGTCGATTCGGGACAAGGCTGACTCGTCGACGAGCATCTACATTCGTTTATATCGCTTCAGTTAGATCTCAGAGGATATCGCGCAAGGTATCGCTAAGGCTTTTATTAATACAAGATAACTTGTATAGAAAGCAGTACGTTTTCCATATTATCTAAGATAATTTATCGAAACGCCATCCGAGGATGTTTATCCTTACTTGCATCGCGTTAACGATCCACGATATCGTCCACGGGGGAACTCGGAACGCGACGTTTCGTTTATAGAAATTTATTTTCCGATCCACGTTTTGTTTTCCCTTTCTATTAGTTTTGTTCTCTCTGAATAATGTTATTCGCTCACTTCGCGGGTGGTATGTTAATTATTTCTTCTGTTAATTTTACGTAGTGTTAACATAGTTTATATCGACGACCACATCGAATCGAACGGGATCGCTGGAAAGTACCGAACGACGATTTCGTCGAGTCTTTGCTTTTGAAAAAAAGAAAAAAGATCTTCAATGTCTCGTTTCGTTTTCAATCTCTTATTACATCGTTTTATCGTTTCGCCCATCGTCCACGGGACAGCAACGTTAGACACACAGATTTTCCAGGAAAAATGAAAGGGAGAAGGACTGGGAAATGACTACGAGAAAGCAGAGGTGGGCAAAATTCTTTCTTAGATCAAAATTTACTTCGCTGTTCGTTGAGTAAAAATTAGTTTCAATTTCAGAACGAATTTACGTCACTTGAGTAAACTGTTTAGTGGAACGAAGTTGTTATTGTTATCGGTTATTCGAATAAAAGTTTGCCCATCTCTGAAGGCGTGTTTAGACCAAAGTGCGAATGCTATTGCCGAGCACATGCGGTCTAAACGCTCCTCGAGCAGTAATGCAGACTCTCGTACAAAACAAAGACACATCACCGGACGAGTATCTCACTCTTAGTACATTAAATACGTAATTTGGTGTCAGGGTAGACCTTTTTCCATAGATATAGAAACCGTTGTTGCTATTACTTACGGTAGAATTCGCGAACAAAAAAGAAAGAAGAGGACAAGAGATAGAGAAACAGACGAAAAGATACGCAAACCTTCAGATTCTATAAATCATTACCTAATTATTTTTTGTCTCCTCCCCGTCAACGCGATTCGTACAAAGCATTCCGACCCCCATGTATCTCGATTCGCGTGTTGACCAGTGTTGTTTTTTTCTCTTTTTTTAATCGTTTTTAAGATAGTATATTTTTACGGTTAAGTTTGACGATACTTTGCGCTTCTGGATCTTCGATGAGTTGGCGTTTCCACGGAAAATGATCGAATGCTGAAAACTTATGTTACGTCGAAGATCGGTTGGCACTTTAATATTCCTGTTGAGCGTTTTTACCGTTGCTCGTAGTTCTTACTTCTCTTTTAGTATCTTCTTTTCTCTTCTTAAGCGTGAATCGTTAAGTTTCATCGGAACTCGTTCGCCGAGAATTATTTTAATTGACGTTCAAAGAATAGGACGCGTTGAAATATCGCGGAAAACATATACGTAACTCGAACCAAGAGATGGAGCAAGACGAAAACAATGAATTAATTTTTTTGTTCACGAAGGCGGGGAATCCGTTGTACGAATCGTCCAGTGACTATCTATTTACATGTAAAATCATAGTGTACACAATACCACATTATATATAATTAAAAGTAACTATATTATATATATACAAATATATATAAATATATATATGAACAAACGGGGAAAAAATCTGTTGCACCGTGCTTTAAGGACAAAGAAACAAATGATTTTGATAGTAGCGTCGTAAGAATTTAGGATACGTATGACTCGTACGTAATTAAAACGAATAAACAATGATAGCGGAAAGCGATCAGGCTGCATAAGTGGATGAAGAGAAGTTGCTACGAAACGGTGAAAAAAATTAAATACTAAATAAGACTTTGTTTACGGTTCACACGGGGAAAGTATGGGAGAATTTTTAGGCCAGCGAGCACCTAAACTAAAATAGTGAAAAAAAAAATGAATAAGTAATAGACACACGTCCGTAATCATGGCGAGATTAGCGTCGTTTTAGGGGAAATCTATAAGGGGAAAAAAAGATAAGTAAAAAGTGGATAGAAATTCATATTAAATACTGTACCGCTAATTAACTAAACTAAAGTACTATTATAAATAAATACTCCCGTACGTAAAGTTTAACGATTAAGCTCCGAGCATGCGAGTCCACGGACGAGATATACTCGCGTTAATACTTCCTCCTACCTTTCAACACCCTCCCCCGCCCAATTCCTCGCCCCACATAGCGATGTACCAGTACATACCGTAATCGTAACGATGTTTTAACGTATAGTGGGCAAGATAAATCGATGCAAAGGAAGAAAATAAAAATACGCGAACGACGTAGAATATAATATAAACAAGTTTGTAAGGTACAAGTGTAGGTTGGCAGAAGGATAATCGACGTTTCGAGGGGAACGGGGGTATAGTTGCCGCTGGGCTCCCAATTACACTGACGCTGTTCGACGAACAAAGTAATTTGTTGGAGAAAATTTATTTCGTGGAAGAGACTTATCGAATCGTTATTTCTTTTTTAAAGTGTTCTCTATATCGCGACGTTGTAAATGTTACTTTTTGGTTTGCAGATATTTTATACATTCCCTTCGCCGTGATCGATTTGACTTGCACCGCGAAATCTCCGGAGCAATTGTCTCGACACGTCAAAGGGAGAATCGAAACGTATCGTACTTCTTTTTCGAAGGTTCGTCCAGAATATGGTTTGAGAAAAGAAAATATTTTCGCTTCTCATCGTACAATCGTGTGCACGGTTTCTTTCTTCGTCTCGTTCAACGTAAGTTCACAACATGGTATCACGTTTTCTAGAATTCGCAACTATATTTTCTTCGGACGAAAACAAAGATGCAACAACAAATACAGTGAACCCTCGATGAAACGACTCTGGTCGAGTTCGTTTCTGATCTTATATCAAGAAGGGGTAGCGGTTTTATTTCAGAATTCCAATTAAATATCTTCGAGAGACCTATACAAATATCCCAGTGATTCAATGTCCTTCACACTCTTGGAATTTATTCGCGTCGTTTTATCGAGGGAGGAATGTTATACACCCAGTCGTGACAGGACCGAAGGAAACCCATGAGAAAACGTCGATGCACAGAAGTCGTATTGTCGGTTCCGCTCCACGCAATCTCAGTTATCGAATTTTAAGGGGTGATAAAAAAAAAACGCGACGCGGTTCGTGGTCTCAGTTCGAGGGGATAATTTCTATTGTTCCGTCGAGCGATAGACGTGTGATCGCGCCTGAAACTTCTTCGGCTCAATGTATACGTAAAAAAAAAAGAAGCGAAACAAAACAGAAGAAAAGTGAAATGAAATTAGGAAAGATGAAGAAAGAGTGGGAGCGAAAGCTTTTTAAGGGATGAAACGCACGTAAATGAGTTCCGAGAATCGGTGTAACTATTTGTAGAAAAGCTTTACGCGTGACTCTATTATACGAATTATTATTATTATCATTAAATAGTATCGTCGACATTATTTTTATTATGTTTAATTATATAGCATAGTTACGGTCTTTTGATGTTAAAACTTCTCGCGTAACGCGGTCCGTTTCTCGATTAACTAAGAACGAAAATGGGGGAAAAAAAATGACGAACAGATTCACGGCAGCCAGGAAACGGGCCGGCGGAAGTGGCGGCGCCGATACGTCCGACAAATTAGGGATATACGTAAAAACTGCTAATTAATTATCAACGATTAGTAATCGGTCGATGAGTTTGTACAGTACTCGCAGGAGGTGTGAGATTCGTAGCGGTCGTGTTATATACGTACGTATGCATTAAGTCTTAATCGTTAGTGACTGCAGATCGAATGGAAACAAAGGAAAAATGAAAAAAAAAAAAGACAGAACGAGAATTGGGCCGAATTTAAGGCGCTTTTCTTTGGAGAAAGTCGTCGGGTGTTGTCTCGACCGAGCGAACGATTTAAGAACGATGGCGTTTCCGTTCCCTCCTTTCCTTTTCTCTTCGAGCTCGCCATTTCGTTTCCTGCCTTACGGTTCTCCTTCAGAGATGGACGATATTCTTACAATAAAAACTATTTTCAGAATTACATTTTACGAATTTAAAACTCGTCGCAAAAGAATTCCATCCGCTTGATAATTTCACATACCTTCATTTGCGTGTAGACAAAAATACCAAGTACGACATGTACCCGAATCTCAACGAATCCAAAAAAAACGTAATGTTGTCCATCTCTGGTCACGACGATCGTTGCTCCCAGTTGTAGTTTTGTCGATGTTTTGTTGATACGGAGCGTTGACACCGAGAGTTGCGCGTTTATTGCGTGTCAACCGACTGTTTGCGTTGTGTCTGCGTTTCCCCATTCGAAGAACGATCGACGTCGACGGAGACTTTTATCCCTTTTCTTTGTTAAGAAAACACGATTGTTTCTCTTTGTTGATTTTATGGGATCGAAGGGGATGGAGACGCGGATTGTAACACGCCACGGTTCCTGAAATCGTTCGAGCGAGTCGAGGCGGATCGGCGCGCGAGGCGAACAATTTCTAGATTAAAAGAAAACGCAAAAAAAAGTAATGTGCGGGCGCCGTCCACATACGAAGCTTTCTCGTCGGCTTACCATTAAGCTACCTATGGCATCTACATTGTTATAGAATATTATTCCAAATAATTGACGCGTAATCATATCATATTAACGTTCATAACGCTTCCTCGTGCTCTCCCCCAACCCCCTCATCCCTTCGTCCCTCACCTCAAACGCCTCGCGAAACTTCCCCTCGTCGCTTTCCTTTACCCTTTCCCATTTCCCCGACGTCCAAACGATTTACTCGCTCTATTCTTACCATTTATTATAGATGTATCATATTGAACTTAAATAATATCGATTAGGTCTATACGTATACATATATACATATAGGGTTATTGAGAAAAGGAAACGCGAGGAAAGGAAACAACAAAGCGACACGAATAAACGTCAACGTAACATTGCGTTAGTAGTACAACTTTGCCCGACTTGCCAAAACTCGCGTAACCACGAATACAATTTACTCCTCTCGCGATGACGATGATGATGACGACGAAGATGATAACGAATACAACACGGAAAACTTGCGTATGGCGTGGTAGATGCGCCCTCGAGGGTACACGAGCGCGAGCGCGCACGCCAAGACTTCTCTTATCCGAATTAAGGAAATAATGTAAAACGAACACTATAGAGTGTGGATTAACTAGAGCTTACGATCCTGTACTTGTATTAAAATTCACGTGTGCACGTGTCACGCGTAGTTTCGAAAAGACACGGGTCTTGTTCGAAGCTTGTTCTTCTTGTTCTCTTATATCATGTCCGTTTAAGGGCCTATGCAGACCGGAAAGCCAAGGGAACCGAAAGCACGCGTGCTCGAATTAAACGTTCGCCAACGTTCGCCAAGATACGAACGCATGTGCCTTCGGTTGCCTCGACTCTTTCATCCGTGTGCGTGTCACGTGAAATAACATTACGTGTCGCTATACCTATCACTTTAATTTCACCCTAATTACACGTGTATCCGTGCACACATGAAATATAGAAGGCTCTAGGCTCAAGCGTTACACGAAACGATGTCACAACGTTTTCGATGTGTAAGAATGATCGCTAGAGTGTTCACGACTAATGAACAGACAGAAAGTGAGAAGTGAGAGAGATTGATCGAAATCGTGCGAGTGGGAGCAAGAAGAAAGAGTGAAAGATTATGCGTGTGTGTGTGAAAGGGAATATCAGCAAGAATCGCGCCGTACTACATACATATATTCGTAAGATGGAAAACTCGACGAAAATTAAAGTTAGATTTATTCTTGACTAGATTGCGTACCGATCAATA